GCAAAAACTCGTGCGAACATCACCCAGAGCCGCTTACAGAGATATGACCTGTCACAATTTTATGGGATTTTACAATAAATACTGACAAAATGATCAAAGCTAATCGCCCAGACAGCGTGATGAAAGGACTCAGAACATGAGGTGCTTTCTAAATTCACATGGCAGTGTCTTCAGATTGTAATGTATATTTGAAGAGCTCCAAAAAGCTATCAAAATGCAAGCAACTTTAAAAAATGTGGCACATGAGTCCATCAATAATTCCAGTTGTAGATTTTAATAGTATCCAATAGAATCATTGAAGGGATTCCTGGTAGCCCATGCCTTAAAGAAAAACAAAAACTTCTACTCAAAATTACAGCCCACGCATTACGAAGACATTTATCTATGTAAAATATGATTTCAGATTTTTTTTTATCAAAAATGATCAGTGAATAATATCATGAAAGCATTTCTGACCTTAGGTCTCTGGTTGGGACCCGGAAGGAAATGTGTATACAACAGAAATCAAAGGAAATAATAATAGTAATAATAATAATAATAGACTGGAAAAGGTTCCGATAGACACATTGAAGGGATATCTGTAGGCCCATGCCTTAAAGAAATATAAAAATTGTATTCACAAGTTCAGCTCAAACATTACGGAGGACTTAATCTATGTAAAATGTGTGTGATTTAAAAAAGAAAATAACTGATTAGTGAAAATGTCATGAAGCCATTTCTGACCTTAGGTCTCTGGTTGGGACTCGGAAGGAAATGTGTATACAACAGAAATAAAATACTACTACTAATAATAATAATGATAATAATGGCGATACAATACTTAAAGAAGAACGCGATTTATGAAAAGAAAAAGAAAAACCATTGTGTTTAACAATGTTTATCACTATATCGGCAATGTCTGTCTTCAATTTATGCTTAAAAGTTGCATACAAGTAAAAAAGGACACATAGCCCATAAATACGTTGGTTAGATCCAGTAACTAGACTCAAAGAGTTGTGAGTTAAATACCAGAAGAACCAAGGACTTGGAAGTAACTGAAACATTCGGAAGAGGCACGGCACTTAGAACTAGATTTATTTTGTTCACCCCAGTGGACGAAATAAAGCGTTCGGTTCGAAATTCCAATCACTTGAAGACCGAAGCGTACAATAGCCGAGACGTTGTGATTATGGCAATGAAGATGAGGAAAACAGTCCGAATAATATAAATAATGCAAGTAATCATAATGCCTCATCTCAGAGATATAGACAGATAAAGAAGAAAATTCAAATCACCTGAAGAAGGTCGGAGCGTACAATAGTCGAAACGTTGTGAATATGGCAATGGAGATGTGGATAAAATTCCGAATAATATAAATAATGCAAGTAAACATAATACCTCATCTCAGAGATATAGACAGATAAAGAAGAAAATTCAAATCACCTGAAGAAGGTCGGAGCGTACAATAGTCGAAACGTTGTGAATATGGCAATGGAGATGTGGATAACAGTCCGAATAATATAAATAATGCAAATAATCATAATACCTCATCTCAGAGATATAGACAGATAAAGAAGAAAATTCAAATCACCTGAAGAAGGTCGGAGCGTACAATAGTCGAAACGTTGTGAATATGGCAATGGAGATGTCGATAAAATTCCGAATAATATAAATAATGCAAGTAATCATAATACTTCATCTCAGAGATATAGACAGATATTGAAGTATAAAAGAATAGACAAAATATACAAGCCTTTCTGCAAACATCACTTGTCTTAATAAAAATGGTTGTACTGTTAATTAGCGCCACAAAACAAATAAAACGCAGCCAGCGGAAATGAAATGCAAATGATACGCGAGTAACATGAAAAGGGTCGTGCTCATCTTTCTTTTAGGTTATTAGTTAATAAGAACGATTATTTAACCATTTGGTATACATTTTACGAAACTCTCCTGGCATTTTGTTTATTTTCCCGCCTCCGGGGGCAGAGGGTTGTGAGGACGTTAGTAGTTTCATATGTAATTATCTTCATGACTTTTCAGGGGAATAGGAATTTGTGGAGAGCCATAATCAGGCTTGATCTGAAGGGATCAGAATTTGTGCAAATTGTCATTTTTATTTTTTTGCCTTACGGGAGATCTCGGATAATGTCAGGCTAAGTGAATTCGCTTAATAATTAGTATAAAATAAAGGATTAAATAAATGATAATCGAATTAAGTTGCAATTAATCAACGGTTACCAGGGTTATTCACCCGAAATCTGACCATGTCGTTCGAACAAAATTTGCAACGAATGTCATATTCTGATATTTACTGAAAATAGTCGTCGCTTAAAAGGACCAATATGGAATAGGCTTCGCTTTTAAATGCTTATAAGTTTTTATATAGCCTTCTAAACTATTCGTTTTTAAGGAATATTCCCATTATGTCTTTGGAAAAAGGCTGCGCTATCTTCCAACAGCTGTCGGTTATATAGCATGACTAGAATACCTGTCTATATTTCTGAGATGAGGTATTATGTACATTATTTACACTATTAGGAATATTGTCCTCACCTTTGTCGCCATATTTATTACAACATTTCGACCCTTCAGTATCTGTCTATATTTCTGAGATGAGGTATTATGTACATTATTTACATTATTAGGACTATTGTCCTCATCTTTGTCGCCATATTTATCACAACGTTTCGGCCCTTCAGTATCTGTCTATATTTCTGAGATGGGATATTATGTACATTATTTACATTATTAGGACTATTGTCCTCATCTTTGTCGCCATATTTATTACAACATTTCGACCCTTCAGTATCTGTCTATATTTCTGAGATGAGGTATTATGTACATTATTTACATTATTAGGACTATTGTCCTCATCTTTGTCGCCATATTTATCACAACGTTTCGGCCCTTCAGTATCTGTCTATATTTCTGAGATGGGATATTATGTACATTATTTACATTATTAGGACTATTGTCCTCATCTTTGTCGCCATATTTATTACAACATTTCGACACTTCAGTATCTGTCTATATTTTTGAGATGAGATATTATGTACACTATTTACATTATTCGGACTATCGTCCTCATCTTTGTCGACATATTTATTACAACGTTTCGGCCGTTGTATCCTCAGGCCTTCTTCCGTTTGTTACAATGTCGAACTGAACCCTTTATTTCACTCACTGGGGTAGACTGTTCTAGTTGCATGCGCCATATTCAATGGATGTCAGTTATCAGTTATCTCCTGTTAATTCCCCTCTCCAAGTTCTCCCCTGCCTTAACCGGGTGTTGAACTCACTCCTGTCACTGGATCTAACCAACGCCTTTATCCACTGTACCATGTGTCCTTGAGAGGACCCAAAGAGAGCGAGTTCAGTACCCGGTTAAGGCAGTGGAGAAACGTTGTAATAAATATGAGAACAATAGTCCGAATAATGTAAATAGTATGACTAGAATACATTGACTTTGTTGGTATCCAGTTTAGGAGAAAGAAAAGTTTAAATTCAAACACCCACTGCCTTGCTGGTATTTCTCGATAAACAAACAAACACATGAGTTAATTCTATACATAATGTGAAATGGAATCCCATAGGAGGATAGATGGTTCTGTGACAGCTTCCGGCAACTCTTGCAGCTGCACCAGTATCAAATTATATTACACTTTCCTTTGGACTCTACTGACAACACCGAAACATTTTGACGAATGGCCAGCCCAAGATCTCCCAGACTCAATGTAATATGCGCTACACCGTCTTTTACAGAGACGAACGGATGCCAACGCAAAGTAATCTATCTGTGTACCCGCGTTCTTCGGAATATGATATATGTGCATATGTAATCATATTTGTCGTGCGCTTCCCGTCCATTTTGCACTGGGTATAACGGATAAATATTAAAGATAGCCTTTTGTCTCCTCAGAGGAGACATTTGAAAAAATGCACGTGTGAGTTTACCCTTTAACCTACAGAATTTCATAATTTATTATGATTTTTAACGTTGTTTATATTCGCTAAATACAAGCCCCAAGATCCTCTCAAGGTAGAGGGTTAAAGTGTAATGTTGTACGAGCTTGACGTGAAGTTAATGGTTTTATCTTATTGTTTTTTTTGTTTTATGCTTCAGGTAACTTTAATTTCGTTTCGTTCCTCCGCCACTTTATGCTGGGCTGGGGCGTAGAAGATCCAGTCCCTACCACTTTTTGCTAAAAGTTAAAATTAAACTGTTATGGTCCATGTCCTTGTACCATGGTGATGGTTCAAGGTTGAACCAATAAAGAAGACTCGAACACCAGTATGGAATAACAGAGATATATTACAAAAATGAATATATATACAGAAAGGTAGAAAGTGTTAGTACGAACAATCAGGTTTAGTAGGGAGAACAATGTAGTCTCGACCAGTATCACTATTCCAATGTCTTGCAGTAATTGTCTGAACGCGACTCTGTTTCGGACTCCCTCTGACTCGACTGACTGACTCGCTCGATCTGACTGACTGACAGACTCCTGACGGACCTCACTTCAGACGGAACGGTATTTAATCAGCCCCCCCCCAACCCAAGAATGTATCATGTGACACAAGGCCGGTTTAACGTGGGATCTCCGAGCCCGTGGGATCAGCCAAAAATAGGCCCATTGAACCCGTATAAACGGGTTCAGGGTCGGTTTACCTCCCCGAAAGAGACTCCGCCCTTCGGCGTAGCCTCGTTCGGGTTCCTCCCCGCCTGAAGGCAGAGAGTTCAACCGATCAGCCACTCAGCCGGTTGCCCGACTTCGGGCTGAACTCCCTGCTTCCTCTTGAGGCGCAGTATTTATTACGTATGGAATAGTCCATTATGTTATTATGGGTAAGGTCCCATAACATAAACAGAACATTAAATTTAATTTCTTGGCCTCAGTTGATGACAAAAATCATTGAGCTGTTCTGTATCTTTTTACTCAAGCATACCTAAAGAAAATATAAAAGCCTCATTGTCCGCCATTTTACCCGAAACATTATTTTCTAAAACTATAAGGATAACGGCCATAACGCGTTGAAACACCGGTTCTCGTACGATCACTGAAGTTAAGAAATGTTGAGTCTGGTCAGTACTTAGATGGGTGACCGCTTGAGAATACCAAGCTTGGATGTGCAAGTGGTGTGATGGCTATATAACTGGCCACTAATATTCGAGGATATCCGTCTACGATGGCGGCTAGTCAATCCCTATTGCAGACGCTTGCTCAGGCGCATTTGGTGTATATTCAACACCCACAGATGGTTTATGCTGTAACTATGCTGAGCTGACCTTAGTTACAGTTTCTGGGAAAGAGCGGTTATCTATTGTGATCAAAACTTGAACAAAGACCAGTACGCTTAACCCCTTAGCCACGATGACTTGTGACTTCGTGCTAGCATAAGTATCGACAGCGCCAAGGGTTCTGATCTACCCAATTTCATTCATAACGCTTGGGTCGACCCGTGGTCTGGTTTTCAGGCATTTTTCAAAGGTGCCGCCCACTGGGTTGGTTGGTTGGTTGTTTTGTTTTATAGCATATCAAAACCTCAGTGGGTCATTTAATACCAACAAAATTTTGAAATAGATTCATAGCAATAGTTTGATAAAAAAAAGTGTGTATGTATACATATATATTTGAACCATTTGCCGAGCGCTGAGAGTGATTACATTGAAAAAACGCATATGTGAGTTTACCATTTAATCTACAAAATTTAATAAAATAATTATTTTCTTTATTATTTGACCTTTGTAATACAGGGCGTCCCCGCAAAAAATTAACATAATTTATAATCTAATTACATATCCAGTTCTGACTCAAATGATCTCACATTTTAACAAACGTGTAAAAACTATACTGACTGTGCGGGCATACCACAATAAGAATCTAATGACAATATACTGTTGAAATGGCCACCACGTTCGCCTGACTTGACGCATTGCGATTTTTTTTCTATGTGAAAGGACAGGTCTATATGTCATTCTTCCTACAAGCCTAGCGGAACTTAAAAAAATCACGGTAGAATGTTACGCAAGACATGCTACAGTGCGTTTGGCAGGAGCTAGGCTACCGACTTGACGTGTCACAGGTGGTGTGCATATTGAAGATTTGAGAAGCTTTGTGAAAACGGTTTTAAAATCTACACCCCTTTGAATATCTTGCTCGAATTTTGATAAATAAATCATTCATTGTTCAACATGAAGTCTATTTAATTTCCTTTGCCTGGGATACATAGTTACACAGATATTCGCATTTTAAATGAGGTCTCGATTTGGGGACACCCTGTTTTTTATCCATCGCTTTAAAAATCTGATTAATCCACACACTTTTTATTTGGTGTCTTCCTGTTTGTCTTTAATTTAGAAGTTTGGAGCAGATATCAAAAATAATTAAACAATGAAACATATTTGAAATAATGTGCTTGGAACTTGGGCATAGACATGGCGCTGGACACCGCTTTACAGATTTGGTCACAGAGATCAAAGTTAATTGAAACCATAGCCGGTTATAGAACTTCATCTCTACTAAACAAATTTCCTAACGTCGTAGAGATTTACTTGATCATCCCACTGAGTCAGCTTGAGTATTTTCTCGTTCTGGTTATGGCGATAAACTACCTCCGCGTCCAGGGTAAGACGATAAACTACGTCCAACAGCAAGGCCTCTGATCAGGAGGTTTTGAGGAGCGTGGAACCACCTTTTAATTGCTGGTGTTCCCAGTTCCACCCTGACCCGAGGTGGTAGTACCTGTTAGGGTTCTAACTATGGATAAATAGTTAACCCCGAAACTTAGGTAAAATGCATTATAAAAGTATAAAAATAAGTTTTAATACTAGAAAAACTTTGTAAAAATGATTACCAGAAATACATTTTTGAAGAAAAAAAAACTATTACCAGCAATATATTTTTGAAAAAAAAAATATTACGAGTAATACGTTTTTGAAAATAATATTATCAGCTATACATTTTTGAGTGAAAAATATTACAAGAAATAGATTTTTGACAAAACAAAATATTACCAGGAAAAAATGTTGTCGGCATTAAATAACCCATTGAGGTTGATATGCCGTAAAACAAACCAAACCATACCTAGTGTTTTCCCTCGGGCCCCTGGTCCAAGCTAGTCTTAGCTGGTCATATCTTATCTAAGCTGGTCAAAGCTGGTCATAGTCATGATACTACCAGCACAAGGACGGATCCCTGTGTCAAGTAAGTATCATTTCCTAACGTCGTATATTCGTTTCCGACTACTAGTAGTAGATGTAATAGTATATTTTCATTATTCTGAATTACACAGATAAAATATTTGCATAACGATAATAATATTAGAAAATCATAATAATGATAAATTTAGAAAAGCATAACAATGATCCTATTTGAAAAGCATAACAATGATAATATTTGAAAAGCATAAAAATGATTCTACTTGAAAAGCATAACAATAATAATATTTGAAAAGCAGAACAATGATAATATTTGAAAAGCATAACAATGATAATATTTGAAAACATAAGAATGATTCTATTTGAAAAGCATAACAATGATAATATTTGAAAAGCATAAGAATGATTCTATTTGAAAAGCATAACAATGATAATATTTGAAAAGTATAAGAATGATTCTATTTGAAAAGCATAACAATGATAATATTTGAAAAGCATAAGAATGATCCTATTTGAAAAGCATAACAATGATAATATTTGAAAAGCATAACAATGATCCTGTTTGAAAAGCATAACAATGATCCTGTTTCAAAAGCATAACAATGATCCTATTTGAAAAGCATAACAATGATAATATTTGAAAAGCATAACAATGATCCTATTTGAAAAGCATAACAATGATCCTGTTTGAAAAGCATAACAATGATAATATTTGAAAATTTAAAACGCAGTACTAGATTGGCGTCGAGAACTCATGAATTTAAAGTTGAGCTGGCTACATCTAGCCGTAATTTCTATGCTAACAGTTTCTTCTCTTGCAGTAGTCGCTTTATGCTTTCCAGCCAGCTTTAATTACTCTCTTCTCTTTCTGCTTATTTGTTCTTAATTCTTACACACCCTGCAATCCGTTGTGTTTAAATGGCTTTACAATCTTCCTTGGGTTGATACTGATTAAAAAATAATAATAATACGCCCCCTAATTCTGGAAATTATGGGCGAAAAAAGCCCTCGGGTATCATATTCATTGATATTTTAGAAGTGATAATTTTTTACGAGTGACATAATATTAATATAGTATAATTAATTATTAATATAATTTAATTAATATAATATAATTAATATCGTATAATTAATATATATTATAATTAATATAATTAATATTAACCCAGTTAAAGTTGCTTATCCCGATAAATAGAGCGCGAAGCAGAATTAGACCACAGATTGGACAAGAACAGTACAGCTTTGTCAAGTGTACTGGAAAGACTGATTTATTTGATTCATTCGTTTTTTACGTTTTGTCAACCCTTTGCAGGTTATTTAAAACCAGAAAATATTTTTATATTGTAAGAATTTTTTTTCTTTTTTTGTAAATAATAATGGTTAGGGATATAAATTTTACTAATTAACCCATAGCTGGGAGGAGAAGAGGTGGATTCATACCTAATCTGAATTTTTTAAGCAAGAAATTATAATATGGATATAAAATGGGGGATACATTCTATATTACTGTCAATATATAAACTGATCCCTCAGTTTTTGGCCATTGTAGTTTCTATACATTTATATTCCAGATAATGTAAATAGACCTAAAAAACATAACTGTGTAGCTAATCAGTATTTCATTGATTGATAAATTCGTTTTTTTACGCCTTATCAACTCTTTGAAGGTTATTTAAAGCCAGAATATATTTTTACATTGTAAGAATTTGATTCATTTTTTTGCGTTTTGAGATGATAATGTTTTAGTGATACAAGTTTTACTAATTAACACATAGCTGGAGGGAGAAGAAGTGGATTTATACCTTATCCGAGGGCTTGCTGATGGATGTAGTTCAGTGGCAAGAGGTTATTTCTCTTTAGATGCATGGCCCAGTGGATAAAAGTGTTGGCTGAAGAAATCCATTGACTTAACCCAAAATGTTCAAACAGATCAAGAGTTGTGGGTTCAATACCGGATCACAGCAGAGGTGAACAAAAGTTTGAGTTACTAAAGGGAAATAACTGAAACTGAGATATCAAGAAAAGGCATGACACGTGGAACTAGAATAATCTATCCATCTCTATAATTAAATAAAGAGTTCGGTTCGAAATTCCTAACTATATAAGCTGAAGAAGGCCGAAGCATACAACATTTACCTTGATAAATGTGATTAAAATAAGTGTTAAATCTGGAACAGACCTGGATGGCAGTGAAGATGACATTCTAAGATTATTATATTGACGACGTCCAAAAAGAAAGCTACTACACTGAAAATGTAACTGGAAATGACATGTCACAGAAAGCAGTTGAACACAAATAAAATAGATGTTTTATCTTCTTTTCTTTTTTTAAAAAAAAACTCTTTTCACCTGAAGCAAGGCGATAATGTCTCTAAGACGCAAAGAGTGGTGTAGAGTTTGAAAAAGAATAGGATTTTAGGACAATAAAAGATAGAAAATGGCGATTGGCGTTGCGTATACATTGTTGAGTCAGTAGGGAAACAAGAAACCGGAAGTGAGTTCAACAGGCGAGAAAAGAAACTATTAGAATATCAGGTATCCAGCTTGCTGAACACTTTGAATCTTTTTTTTTTTTAATTATTTTTAATTTTATGTTACACATTAGAATATATATATAACCTTTGTTAATATATCGTAACTGTGTATACTGCGCACGTAAAAAAATTTAGGATTAAAAATCTGGAGGAAAGTATATCTTATACATTAACAATATTATTATCGTAATTATCGCTGTATAATACGCAGTTTTCCACCATGGTTTAAACTCTATATTATATTATATTATATTATACAGGTTTAATAGCATCAATAATAATAATAATAATATATACTTTATTTCACTAATATTCACCCAATAAAAAGGTCACTCAAGGTTACTGTGTGAAGTTGCATTAGGGTAAGAAAAGGCAAGATAGCAGAAAAAGTAGAAAGGTAATTCTAGATTTGAGGAGGGGGGTCAAGATTTAATTAGTAAATAAAATTTCAGAGTTCCGTCGGAGACGTTAAATGTATAAAGTTGATGTCGAAAAAATAAATAATTAATCAAAAACAATTCAGAGTTCAAATGGAGACATTAGAAGTATAGAGTTGAAGTAGGAATCGGAAACGCAATCCTAAACAGGAATGTGACGTCCCCCGGTGTCACTGCGCCGTGCTGTCCCGGTCGCGGCGCCAATTGTGACGTCACCCCGTCTCTCTACGCGCCGTCGCCGTCCTATCCTGTCCTGTGACAACCAATGTGACTTGGTATTGGTCGCGGCACCAAATGTGACGTTCTAACCTTTTGCTGATTCGGTTGGGAATCTGCTTAGATTCGGTATCAGTCTTGTCGTTCCCAGCTCGCCTCCAACGTCTGGTTACCGAAGTAACTGCTTTGATTTCTAGTCTAACCTACTCACGTTGTGATTTGATTTTAGGTAGACGAAATCAATCAGTCGCCGGGCCGTAATGCAAGCCGAGTCCGAACAAGGGCAATACCGCACAAGTATATGTAAAAGAAAATAAAGTAATGACTCTAAAAGTTCAAATGTGTTAAAAAAGGATAACAATATTTTATATCTGGTTGCTGAATACAGGACTGCATCTTTCTCCCAAACCGCTATATGGATTCGTGACACTCTATGTTTGTTAGGCGAGTCTTAACATCTTAAGTTGTTTTTTCTTTAAGAAACTGGTTCCTGCTGTATCTTCAGGCGATATTCGTAAAACTTGTTTTAGTGGTGTGAGTCTAAGTCGTTCTTCAAAAATAAATTGTTCTTGGTTAGAAGTTGAGGTCGAGATTACGTGAAATCTTAGTCAGTTTTCTGCGAGGGGTCTGCGAGCTCTCAGCTCACTGCAACTCCTTGCCTGTCTGTCTAACCCCAACTGCGAACTTCACTGCAAACTGCCGTCTTACTCGCTGCGACTCTGCTTATATAGACGCCGACCAAAACCGGGATGGGCCTGTCGGGGTTTGAGGTTCCTTGATAATTCTAAATCCGCATCACGGGTTTTCTTTCTTTTCGGTCAGGAAGATTTATTAATTTCCATTTTTGGAAGTCTTTATTTTCTAGGGTAAGGAATTGTCCTCTTCCATTCTTCTTTTCTCATTGTGGCAACTCATACCGATCCCTTCAGGAGGCGTCAACAGGCCTTCCCTCCTTCTTCACATGATTACCTTCGCCTACCGCTCACGCACCATTCAGCCAATGGACGCCCAAAAGTGTGGATGTGGCTAGACTAGACTCGGTTTAAAAAATCTTGCTCAAAGAAAAAAAAAATATCTTCCTTTTTTTCTTCCTTTCTTTTCTTTTTTTCTTTTCTTTCCTTTCTTCTGCCCGACAACAACCCTATACGACCCGTAGTGTGGTCTCTTAATCTCAATTTTATCCTGAATGTCACCTGGGATTCATCACTCGGGACCTTCGCCAAATAAGTGGGTGGTCATCCGGCGATATCCACGTTCCAGACAATTATTCGTTCTGATAAAATAATTTTCCTATCGTGGCCAGCTTCGACATAAAACAGGTGTCTTTTTCCAAATGATATGGGGGTGGTCCAACTGACATTTTGGTTTCGGTCAGAGCATGATCTAATTATCATTATCTCCCAGTTTCTGTTTCGAAGGCCACTTGACCAACCTGGAATTTTCATTATCGTTGTCATGGCAGGCGGCTATCGTCCACTCGGTGCGTCGTCATAAATCAAATTAAATCCAGTGTCTTACTTCCTCGATAATGAAAATAAAATCTTACCACTTTTCTTTGTTAGAAAAATAACATCGCTTAGTGTCCTTTTCGTGATGGCTTCTTATCACCTAAATTTAATTCTCGCCTTTTCTATCTTTCTTTTTTTCTTTCTCGCAACCCTCAGTAGTGTCACAGGAAAGAAGGGATGACCCTCTACTCCTGTTCAAAAGACCGCTGGGAAGTGTAAACAAGATGATAGGCAAACCTATATACTCCTATTCAGAGAAGAAAAATAATTAGTGAAAAACAATTCAGGGTTCAGGTGAAACTATCAGGGTTCAGGTGGGGACGTTAGATAGAGTTGAAGTAGACTTTAGAAGAAACCGGAAACCCAATTCTAAACAGGAAACAAGGAATGAACCATCTACTCCTGTTTAAAAAAGTGGGAAGGAGTATGAATGATCTACAGACAAACCGATCTGCTATAATTGCTTTTATTATTTGCTGCGGTCGTCTATGTGATCTTTAAATTGTAACTATATATTAGAATGGGAGAAAAGAAAAAATAATTCGAGAATAAAGTTTCACTGTTCAGACGTTACGTGCAGAGAGTTGAAGTAGACACTAGAAAGGACACCGGAAACAAAATCGAAAGCAGGAAACAAGTGATGAACCTCTCATCCTATAAAAAAATAACCGTGTTTTAAAAATTGAAATCAAAATTTCCATGGTAACAGCTAGGGCGAAACAATATACGTTATTCAAAAAAAAAAAATTCGCTTGAAGATAGAACAGCTTATTTTAACTCAATTTAATTTAAATAATTATATTGAAGTTTTCGGCTCTTCTTTTTTTGAAACATGGGACTTCTTATGTCGCGAGTTGTAATCATATTTTTAAATAAATAATTATATTTATGCTCTACTTTTGTATCGAGCACTATTTTTTAAAAAATAATAACTAAAATACTAAGGGACTTTGGATTATTCACCCAACCAGTTCCTTCCTATCTTCTATATATTTTCACCCCCCCGCCATATATATATATATATATATATATATATATATATATATATATATATATATATATATGTGTGTGTGTGTGTGTGTGTGTGTGTGTGTGTGTGTGTGTGTGTGAAAAAAAACAATAAGAAAACTGCAATTCTAGCCGAAGCGTTTCGTCCAATGCGAACTCTTTCAAGGCAAAAAAAAAAAAACGAAAGGAATTGATTGAAAGAAAGTATAGATAAAAAATGCTGTTAGCAACTACAATTTAGAGATGTTATATATATATGTATATATATATATATATATATATATATATATATATATATATATATATATATATATTGTCTTCCACAGATAGACTGTTTCCTCGTAGCACAGCTCCACCGTGTAGCTAGAGATCCAATTGCCTCAACCCAGGATCGAAACCCGACTAATTCAGTATCAGTCGGAGATTTTCCCCTAAGCCATCGGTTCTTGGAAGATAGGGAGTTGAATTTTTAAACACGCCAGTGATAATGAAGAAAGAGGGCTTGGAGAATCTGATACTCACGCGTCGAATAGAGGGAAAGAGAGACAAGGGAAAACAACGCGTGACATCCTAGCGGCCTTAAGAAAGTGGATGACAGAAGGTGGTCTGGGGGAGAAAGCAGAGGGAAGGAACTTGTTTAGAGCTGCAAGGGATAGAAGGAGGTGGAGAGCCATGATCCCTTACGCCCTGAATGGACACGGTACATAGAAGTGTTTATGAGTCGAGTCAAAATGAATTGAATAATTCGATTCGTTTTACCGTGTGCTGTTTAACTCTTGCCGCTTGTGTTCATATCTTTTGTTCCCTCTTCTTTCATTTTATTTCTTCATTCCGTTTTTGATTTCTTTTTGTTTAGTTTAACGCTCCTTTCAGTTATTTATTTATTATTCAGTGTTTATTAATTAAAGTAAAATAAATTTGAAGATTTTCTCTCTCGGAATTTACCAATTAAAAAGAAAAGCAAAATTTTAAAAAATCGTCCAAAGAATCCAGCGGAATTAAACGAATGTTATTAGGAATTAAAAGCAGATAATTTCGCATCCAATAAAGAGAGTAAAAGAAGACACAAAACAATTGTTCACGAATACACAATGAGAAGCCAACCTGAAAAATATCCGGGCCACGATGAATGAAAAACTAATTGTGGTCTTGTCAATAAATTCTTCAATGTCAATCTAGAAACGAATAAAGGGAAATCTTTTTTCTTTTCATTTTATTTCCGGCCCACAGACGTCTCATGAAGTTAATCAACGTCGATCATGGTTAGTAACAAGATGGGTGACGACGTGGGTAATACCATGTGCTGCAAAACTGGACGTGCTGATGGCGTAATGGATAATGGTGTAATGAATAATGGCTCGGAATTTTTAATCAGAGATCCGATTTTCCTTCCCCCTTTGGGTCCGTTACATTCACTTACACACTAATAGCCTTGAGAATGGTATGAATAAATCAATTCTCTCCCTTGCTATGGGTTAATTAGTAAGAACCATAGCTCTAGACCATAATTATCTCCAAAAATAAATTCTTAAAATTCAAAAAGATTTCCAGGCTTTAAATAACTTGCAAAAGGTTGATAAGCCGTAAAAAACGAATCTAACAACATTAATTTCCTTTCCTTTCTTTCATTTTTCTGTTCTTTTATGTTTTTTATTTAAACTATTTAACTGCATATTATTTTTTTATTCTTTCTTTTTTTTTTTTGTTAAATAAAAATTTTTTTCATGCGGAAAATCCATTCGAAGTAATCGGTGTTATTGAGAATTAAAAGCAGATAATTTCGCTTCCAATAAATAAAGAATGTAAAAGAAGACCCCGAAAAATTCCTCACTAATACACAATGAGAAGCCAGTTTGACAATTATCCGGTCAGCAATGAACGAAAAAAACTAGTTTTAGTCTTGTCAATAAAACCTTCAATGTCAATCTCGAAACGAATAAAAGAAAATCTTTTTTTTTTTCTTTTCTTTTTATTTCTTTTCTTGGACATTATGTTGAATGATGGCGTCAACAGGGAAATATTTCAAAAATACAATTGGTTTAAACCACAATTTGTTAATTAACAAAACGTGTCATTTAATGGCGACTGTTAAAAAAGGGATCAGAAAGAATGTGGCACATTTCAGGTTTTCAATTGTTTTTTTTTTTGTTTGTTTGCTTTTTGTTTTCATTCCTATTTTTTACTTTTTTTTTTCTTCCTTCCTTCCTTTTAGTCTTTTGGGCGTATTGCCCTATTACAGTATTTACTTTGTTTTTCTATCTTCTTTCATATTTCTTTTTACGCTTTCTTTTTTCCCTTTCTGTCTTTATTTCTTTCTTTCGTTCTTTCTTTCTTTCTCTTTTTCTTTCTTGCTTGCTTGTATGCTTGGAGAAAATGAAGAAGAATTTGACATTCCACGTTATTTTCATATTTGTTTTGTTTGCTCTTTCTCATTACTTTCTTTCTTTCTTTCTTTCTTTCTTTCTTTCTTTCTTTCTTTCTTTCTTTCCTACCGTCCCTCCTTCCTTTCAGTCTTTCGGCTTATTGCCCTGTTACAATATTTATATTGTTTTTCTCTCTTCCTTCCTTCCTTTTCCTTTCTTTTTCCTCTTTCATTTCTTTCTTTCTTTCTTTCTTTCTTTCTTTTTTTTTCTTTTTCTTTTTTTCTTTTTACCGTCCCTCCTTCCTTTTCAGTCTCTTTCGGCTTATTGCCCTGTTACAATATTTATATTGTTTTTCTCTCTTCCTTCCTTCCTTTTCCTTTCTTTTTCCTCTTTCATTTCTTTCTTTCTTTCTTGACTTTCTATATTTTCCCATACTTTTTAATTTTGATGCATCATATTCTTTCTTTCTTTCTTCCTTTCTTTCATTCTATTTTGATATATCCTATTCTTTCCTGCTTGCTTGCTTAGAAGGGATGCGAAAGAATTTTTTGTTTTGTTTGCTATTTTTCATTATTTCCCTTCCTTCCTTCCCTCCTTTCTTTCTTTTCAGTCTTTCGCGTTATTGCCCTATTACATCATTTACATTGCTTTTCTTTCTATATATCTGACGTCATACCTCGGTGGAGCAGTTGGTATGATTATTATGATTATCAAATCCTCCTAATAACTTCTATCATATATATATATATATATGTGTGTGTGAGATGAAGTATTATTATGATTATTTACATTACTTAGACTGTTATCCTCATCTTCATTGCCATATTCACAACGTTTCGGTCTCTATATCCCTGAGATGAGGTATTGGACTTTGGAGGCTTACAGTACCAAGCGGTCCCCCATCTAAGTACTGACCTACGCTGCTTAACTTCGGTGATCGTACGAGAACCGGTGTTTCAGCGTGATTTGACCGTAAGTCCAACCCTTACCTCACAGTCGGTGGGGGGGGTGTAAACGGTAGTGTCAGAGCTATGCCGCCCGGAACTTCGTTCCTGGTAGGGCCACCCAAGGCGGACAGGTCTGACACACACGCCGGCTAACAAGGGCTCTGGTGAAAATCCAAGGAGGGTCTGCATCGGTAACCGGCGGCTTCTGGTCGTTCCTGTCTCTGCGTCTGTGGGAACCCCGCGGCAAGCAAGAACGTTATCCGAGTAGGCCTGGGTACCCTACTTCTGTAATTTATCCCAAGAATCTTCTCATCATGACAGCTCCAAAGCCCAGGCTCAATCCGCCCAGTACAGTACAGAGATGAGGTATTATGATTGCTTACATTATTCGGACTGTTATTCTCATCTTCATTGCAATATTTACAACGCTTCGGCCGTTGTACGCTCCGGCCTTCTTCAAGTTATTGGAATTTCGAACCGATCCCTTTATTTCGTCCACCAGGTATTGTTGTAGTTCTCCAACTTTTTTTTTTTGTTCACCACAGCTGTCGTCTGGTATTGAACTCACAACACTTTAGTTCTAGTCACTTGATTTAACGTTGAGGAAACATGGCTCAGTGAATAAAGACGTTCGCTAGATCCAGTGACTAGGCCCAAAGAACTGTGTGTTTATTACCGGGCCACAGAAGTTGTGAAGAAAAAAATGGAGAATTGAGTTAAAACTGATACATCCGGGAGAAACACGGCACGTGGAACTAGAAAAATCTACCACGGTGGGGGAAATAAAGGGTTCGAAATTCCAGTCACCTGAAGAAGGTTGGAGCGTACAATAGCTGAAACGATGTGAATATGGCAATGACGCTGAGGATAACAGTCCTGTATTATGTAAATAAGTCTTTCGGCTTATTCCCCTGTTACAGTATTTACACTGTTTTTCTTTCTCCCTTTCTTTCTTTTCCTTTCTTTTTCCTCTTTCATTTCTTTCTTCCTTTTTTTACTTCCTATATTTTCCCAAAATTTTTAATTTCTTCTTCTCTCTCTGTTTCATTCTTTCTCACTTTCTCTTTTTCTTTCGTTTCTCTCCTTTCGATTCTTTCTTTTTGGCATGTTTGCTTGGAAAGATTGCGAAAAATGTGACGCATTACACGTTTTTCTCATTTTTTTGGTACATGATTCCTTCCTTTCTTTCATTTTATACCAGAATCCATTATTCTTAATTTATATGGACCTGTTATTTACTTCTTCTATTTTTTATGATTATTAGTTAATTCATTTATTTATTCCTCGTGAGTGTTCAATTTTTTATTTCATTCTTTTTCATTGGGGGTTAAATTTTCTTTCTTTTTTATAATTATTTCTCCATTCGTTTTTGACATGACCTTCCTTATAAAATTGTTCTTTCTTTCTTTCAATTTTGTTTCTAGTCCTTCCTTTTTTAGAACTTTGTTTTTCATTCTAATTATATATAATTCTTCCGTATATTCATTTTTCTTCCTTTTTAAATTTTTCTTTCTTTCTTTCTTTCCTTTCTTTCTTTCCTTCCTTTCTTTCTTTTTTTCTTTCTTTCTTTAATTCTTTCTTTAATTATTTAGTCCGTTTTTATACTCATTTTTTAAAAAATTTTATATGTTTTTTCTTTTCTTCTTGAGGACACATGGCACAGTGTTTAAAGGCGTTGGTTAGATCCAGTGACAGGACCCAAAGAGTGTGAGTTCAATACCCGGTTAAGGCAGTGGAGAACTTTCAGAGGGAAATTAACAGAAGATAACTGATAACTGACATCCATCAAACATGGTACGTGGAACTAAAACAGACTACCCCATTGAGCGAAATAAAGGGTTCAGTTCGACATTCCATCCACCTGAAGAAGGCTGGAGCGTAAAACGGTCGAAACGTTGTAATAAATATGGCGACAAAGATGAAGACATTAGTCCGAATAATGTAAATAATGTAATTTTTATATTTACTCTTTCCATTCAATCTTTCTTTCATTATTTCTTCCTTTCTTCTGCAGGTTCAATTTCCGACATGTTAGATTTGATTGTTTCCCTGGGTCTGCTTTGCTGTCATATTGTTTGTTAGCTTCACATAATTTCATCTTCACAATTGTCTATAGATCAGATTCAAACTTGATGGTGTTCCATTCCATTATTTTTCCACCTGTAAACCTTTTACTTAGATGCATAAGAAGGCGAATTATCGCACATAAATACTCCGCTTTGTAACTGCGAGGCTGGGACACATGAAATCGCAATAGTTACTATCGTTCAGTATCTGTCTATATTTCTGGGATGTCGTATTATGTACACTATTTAAATTATAACGTAATAACCAAACTTTTAATAAGTATTAGATAGATCTACGGAATCTGAAACAAATCTTCTGAACCGTTACCTTCTTTGAATTGTTGAATGCTGCCATAATCCTTGTCTTCAATTCGTCTTTGGTCTTACAAGGAGTTTTGTTAATCTAATATGTTGCAAATAAAAATATGAAATATTTTCATGTGTACGATCACTTATTCAACCCCCTATATATATATATATATATATATATATATATATATATATATATATATATATATATATATATATCCATATCAATCTATCTAAGTTTTATTAAAGTTATTGTATTTATAAAAATATATATATAAAACCATTTTTTTTTATTATGTAAAATCACTTTTTACTTAAAAAACGAGTTAATAAAATTATCAACAATTGATCAACATCTATATAGAACAAATAACAAATATATATAAGTCATATATGTTTGTTATAATATGATGTCTTTGAAGAATTTACATTTTAATATATTGAGACTTACAATCTGTTACTCATTAAATTTTTTTTTCAATTTGTTACTTCAGCAGTTTCAGTTCCCGAGATGTTAGTTTTGATTGTTTCCCATTGGTCTGCTTTGCTGTCATATTGTTTGTTACCTTTATATAATTTCAACTTCACAATTAACCATAAATCAGATTTAAATCTGATTCAGATTGACACTTGATGGTGGCCATTTCATTATTTTTCCGCCTGTAAATATTTTCTTAGATACATGAAAATGCATAAATACTCCGCTTTGAAACTGTGAGCCTGGGACTCTTACCATTCAAAGAAAGTGTTACTCATGAAGTTGTCAGATCCTAATACGTTGAAACCGACGGGAGAGTCCATCATAGTCCGTTGAAGTTATTATGCAAACTGCATAAACATCAATAACGCGAATTTGCTTTGAATAATTTTTGTTACATTGTAAAGGATTAATTTAGACGTCTTTTAAATCTTTAGGTAGTTTTAAAATTTATCGGTTTTATTTATTTATAATTGCATTAATTCTTTCTTTCATTCATACTTTTTCCTTCATTTTTTCACCCTTTCTGTTTTATTTTTCTTTATTTGTTTATAATTATTTATCTATATATTTTGTTTATAAAATTTCTTCATTTTTAACTTTGTTTCTTTTTCTTTCTTTCTTTCTTTCTTTCTATTTTTTTATTTATCTTTCTTTTTAAATATCTATGTATCGATTTCTAAATATCTATGTACAGATTTCGTACATTTATTTAACTCCAACTTCATTAATTTTCTTCCTTTTTTTACATTAAATAAAAAATTCTCCTTTCTCTCCTTTCTTTTTTAATGTAAAGAAGATGTGATTTAATGGCGTACCCCAGCAAAGTTACGTGCCAACGAGAATCACGGCGATGACAGGATATAAACCCGCGAGATTTGCCAGATGAATACCAGAAATAAGATTCGTTACGCGATTGGCAGGCAACAGTAAAGGAAGGGCTTCTTGGCGTGACAATATTTTGGATAATTGTGTTTTGTCTTTCGACATTTGTGGGAAAGTGCTATATATCTATCTACAGTTAATATCTCAACACTCAAACGCACCCATATATATATATATATATATATATATATATATATATATATATATATATGCAAATTAATTAAAACAGCCGCTTTAGTTTCTTTTCTTTCACCATACGGTCAGTTTGAGACTCACTTAAGTAACAGGATGCAATCGATTTCTATTTTTTCGTCAGATTAGATACTGTTGAATGGTGTGCAGCAATATGAATGTCTTTTTTGGCATTGAAAAATATTGCGTCATCCGGGATTGAATTACATTTTTATCACACCCAGACGCTATTATCTCTACTGTCGATTAGTTGTCCTACGATCATTGTCTGCGAAGGAGTTTGCTCCAAGGAAGCGTACGAAAATTGTAACGCTGCACAAATATACTGTCAAGCCTTACCAGGTAGCAAATCAAAGTACAATAAACTAGCCCGGAAACTCTCCTGATTTAAATCCAATCGAGAATCTGTGGTCGATCTGCAAGGAAAGACTTCGTGGAATGGACATATGAAGTACTAACATATGCACTGGGTCATGTTTCATTAGAAAAAATACAAAAAATGTAAATAATAACAGAATCATTCGTTTTGTTTCAATTAATTTGTATAAGGGTGTGTGTATATATATATATATATATATATATATATATATATATATATATATATATATATATTATAATATTTTCATTATAATAAATTAAAATAAAAATATTTTACATCGATACACAAACATTTTTATGTTTCTACTTTTTGGCACGTCTGGTTTAACCAATTAAATTCAGATCTAAGCTAAAATAGAAAAAAAGAGGGTGGGGGAAGGTGGGTTACTAATTCATGTCATGAAAAATTATTATTTTTTTAAAAAATTCTAACCTTAGGCCTCCCCACTTTTTTAAGTTTCAAAATGATTTTTTCCAAATTTCCCAGATAAATCATTTTTATCATATTTTATCTACCATCTTCCGAAGGGAAACCATTATAGCTCCGAAACATGAACATTTTTGTGTAACGATGTAAAATGTTTTTATTGTAATTTATTATAATAAACTATATATATATATATATATATATATATATATATATATATATAATGCTCAAACATTAACATTCCATGGTTATAATTTATTACATTGGAATCGTTTTTTTCTTTTACTTGTATTG